TAACACATTTCAGAGACAAACGGCATTATAAATTATCAGTACCATGTGGTAAAACATTAAATGGGGAAGACATGAAAAATTAATTGAAAAGGGGGGTTGTACATCAATATTCAATGTTTTTGAGGATATCGGAGGAGTTTATTACCTTGCTTGTAGTGGTGGTAATATGAGTGGTACATATATGCCCAAACTCACCAGACTGTGTATTAATTATGCACAGGTATTTTTTTTAGTATACTAATTATACCTCAATAAAGCTGGGGAGTAAGGGAAGCCCACCAGTATTCCAACGAACAGTAAGTACTGTAGCTCAAGAACTAACGTCAATCATGTAAACAGCTTACAAATCTTTCCATTTTTAAAGAATTAAGTTGCAAGGTGCCATCCAATTTTAAATTTACAACCTTAGCTATATGCAGCAACAGCAAGTATAACATTTACACTACCACAAGTTAAAAAGGTTCAGATTACCATGGGTCTGAAAAATTGGGACTGTATTCTATTCTACACTATACTGTGCGAAAGTGAGAAGCAGGAAAAAGAAGAAGTGTAATTCCTATGCTACTACACAAAAAAATGCAGCCTATGTTCTTCCCAGTATCGGGTTTTCCTTTTTCACACATGGAATGTGCAAGAGCAGGGGGTGGTAAGGAGCGAGTGGGAGAGATGGCATGCAGCACTTAATTTCAGTAAACACTTCAGAACGCTGTACAGATGACCAAGCAGCTTTCGGATAAGGCAGTCTTGACACTGCCTCCCAGCACAGCGAGGACACATTTGTGCGGACTGTGAACGTGCAGACCATCGTCAGTGTGGCCATTATCTGCCGACACCACGCTCTCCTTCCACCGCAGCAACACGCTGTCCTGTCAGTTTTGGGTCGTATTTCTCAGCAAGTCCAAAACACTAAGGAATCAGATGCCCACAGAGTTCCTGTAGAATAGTTCACACAAATGTGCGCTATTGAACAATAACACAATACTGACATGTTGTATGTGTGCAAAACTCAAGTTGCATATCCTTTGTGCATTAGCAAATGTATTTCCAATGTCGCATATTTATAATTCCAAGGCTGTATGCTCCTGATATTTAAATTCCTCATCTATGTCTATTTTAGCTATTCATGAGTATACCTATTATCACATCCTAGAACAGGATTCACTTTGGTATATACATTATGAAGACCAACAATAAAGAAATCAATCTTTGAAAAATATGGCAACATGATTTCTGGTTTGCCTTAATTTTTTCAGATTTGACTGGCATGTAAGAACTTGGAAACTGCCACTCCCGTCCACACAAGAAAAAGTTGAACAAAGTGAAAAGCAGCAACTCTTCACTCCACAGGAGAACTGAGATCACGGAGAGAACCCCCGCCCCCACAACTGGAGAGAGGCCGATGCAGAAAAGCACAAATTACCGCGAGGAGAAACCTGCAGCAGCGTGCCCAGGCCCGGAGTGGGAACCCTACCTTGTAACTGATGCACTGCCGGAGTGCAGTGTTAGTGGAGTCACGTTTGAGAGGTAAAGACTCCCGGGGGGCCCAGTCTTGGGGAACCCCACACTTCTGTGAGGCTGGCCTCCAGGAACTCCACCATGTTCTCAAAACGCAGGCCAGAGAGAAACCTCGTTGTGTTTCTCAGCAAAGAGTGGGGAATGGGAGCCATTTTTTAAGTAAGCCAGAGCATTCTGTTCTTCTCAATAAAGGCTACTCTCATGAAAAACTATTTCACCAGCGCCTGATCAACTGGGGTTTTCCCAGAAACTAGCCCGCTCTGGGGAAGAGAATTACCCAACTCCAGCCCCTCTAGCCTTTTTTTATTGTACCAAGGAGTAAAAACTGAAACAAAACTGAGAAGTACTTGTGTCCATCAGCGCCCAGGGGCACAGGCTCACTAACACTGAAACCCGACCACAGCATACGTAAAGCCTACCCTCCCATCAACATATACCAGGGGAATATTTAAGAAGTTTCTAGAGAAACCCAAACACAAACATGAAGGAATTTCACCCTCTGACACCTACAGCTACAGCAAACAGTGCAGCCTACCCCTAACCAGATAAATGTAAAGCCTCGTAATACAGGCCTACTTACCTGAGTTCCCTTTACCCAGTAGTATCATGTCTGACTTTCAACGAAAAATTACAGGCACACTAAAGGCAACGTGGCAGCAGGACTCAAGCATTTCATAATCTTCAAAAAATGTTGAGAATGTAATTGTTGGTAATGTCATAGATAATAAATTATACACAATACCTTAAATGCAGAGGTGAACATACAATCACTAAAATATACGTTCATTTTACGCTTAAGTAAATTACAACCTGTCCCTTCACCAACAGGAGAAGCCAGGATGCTCAACCACCACTGACACCAACTGCCGTGACACTGAAAGTCTGCAGCGATGCCGCAGATTCCCACAAACAGAAGGTTCACAGATCAGAAAAAGGCAAAAAAGTTACTACATGGACATATTTAGAAAATACACAGTGTTCAGTAAGGTATCTGGATAAAAAAAATTAGTGTATAAATTATTAGTTTCCTATACATTGGTAAAATCCAATTAGAAATGTAACAGACAATTTCATGCAGAATAGTAATATAAATTCATAAAATATCTAGAACAAATCTAACAAGAAATGTGCAAAACTTACATAACGACATTTTTAAGCCTTACTCAAGGAATACGGAAAGGTCTATACAAATGAAGACATATACCGTGTTTCTCAATGAGATGACTCAATGCTAAACTTGTCAATTCTCACCCAGTTACACTCTGAATTTAAGCAACCCTAAAGTAAACACCCATAAAAATGTGCATTATTAAATATCTCATACAAGGAAAAACAGAGAGAAATAATAAGGACCCATATAAATCCAGCTTAAAAACATGACTTATCAAGAGTTGAAAAAAGATCTGTAAAAGAGATTTTTTCTCTGAAACAGCAAAATACACTAAGTAACAGCAGCAATTACAACAGTATAGTAGTGGCATAAGTGTACACACATGTACAAGAAGAGTAAAATAGATTTCAGAAATGGACTGAAATATACAAAAGCACTGTATTTAATGAAAAGTGACATTTCAAATCACTAATAAGACTGGCTATGTAATGAACTGTCTTTAAATAGCTGATTAGCATGAAAGTATAGTTAAACCCCTACCCTCACACCACACAAATCAACCAGTCTTCCATTCTTCATGCATCCGAGTTAAATGTAAGAACCAAAATTGTAAGAGCAGTGAACAGAAAGATGGTGGATAGATAAGGAGCACCAGAAATCTGCATCCTCTCCCCAACAACTGCAGGGGCAGAATCTGCCTGATACACGTATTTTTAGAATTCCAGAGTCTGTTCAAGGCTTACAACTCCCCAAGAAGGACTGGAAGGTAGACCACAGTTCATTTCAGTCCACACCAGCCCTTAGCACAGTAGCAGTCACCGCCAGCCATCCCCTGCTGTGTTCCCACAGAGGCTTGCACACAGCTTATGGAAGCCAGAGTAGACAAAAAGGACCCAGTCCTCCACATACCCCTGTTTCTGATCACAGAGGAGCAGAGAGACAGGCAGCCACTGGTCACTGTTGGTATACCTTCCCACACTGTCGCAAGCTGCCCTCATCTGGTTGCGGTGACTTCCAAGGGATTTAAAAAATCAGCACCTGTTCTTCACCCCCACCCTTCCTTTTCTCCCCTTTTGGGAGCTAGATATAACAGACTCACACATGCAAAAACAAGTGCATATATGAAGAAAACTAGAAAGTAACTGTGCATGCCCATAGAAAGGCAAATGACCTTAAAATTACACCTCATTCATTCTTTTATGTTATTACAAACAAAACAATAAAACATAAATTCACTTATTCAGCCAGCCAGCAGGTAAGAGATTCTCCAACGTATTAGATTTGATCCTTTAGATACAAAGTACCTATGGTCAGAGGCCCTAAAGAACTAGAGTACCTATGTTCTCTAGTTTCTCTCTAGTGGGAGAAACTAGAGAACAATTATTATGCCAGAAGCTCTGTGTGCCCTGGCTGGTGTAGCTCAGTGGATTGAGTGCAGGCTGAGAACCAAAGGGTGGCCAGTTTGATTCCCAGTCAGGGCACATGCCTGGGTTTTGGGCCGGGTCCCCAGTGGGAGCCAGTGAGAGGCAACCACACACTGGTATTTCTCTCCCTCTCTTTCTCCCGCTCTTCCCCTCTCTCTAAAAATAAAATAAATAAAATCTTTAAAAAAAAGTAAGGTCTGTGTTATCAATACCATAGAAAAATGAACTAAAGAGCAGGTGAGAACACAGACATATAGTCACTACATCAGAAGACAGCTGGGGAAGAGTGTGCAGAGGTGACTTTTGACCTGGACGAACAGAAAACCGCAGGTTGGAGAGCAGGATTTCAGCTCTCCAGCTCTCTAGTGGTAGAAACAGTATGTGCATCATTTAGAAGGCGCAAAAAAGTGGGGCATGTACCAAAAATAGACCACTTACTATCTAATATGACTCTGGGCAAAAAACTGAATCTATTTCAACTGAAAAACAAGGATAATAGTATCTTCCTCAAAGGGTTTGTGCGAGGAAAATGAAATGGCAAATCAAAAAGAATGTGAGTGACATTGGGTTAGGATGTCCCATCCCCCATCCCCCACCCCCCCCACCCCCGGGGCCCAAGGCTCCCTGGGCTGTTTGACCTCAGCAAGGTTTCCTCCTCTCCCTTTTCCCCCAGAAGGCTTCCACTCGGTAGACGAGCACAACCTTCGCAGTTGTGTACAATGGTCTAGGCCCAGCTCTTGACACATAGCATTTACTCAAAAGACATGGATTTCTTTTTTCTTTCTTCCTTTTTTTAAAAGCAGATGTTCAGTTCCACTGAACTACTTAATCTGAGACACTGCTTAGAACTGCCCTGCAAGCACCGCCAGGGTGCTGACTCTCACCGAAGCACCAGCGGTACGTTCCCTAAGCACCCCACCCAATCTGTACGTGGATCACTTCATACTTACAGGCTGAGGCTGTTCTGCAATACAGCAGTTGAAACACAACCAGAATTCACTCATGCTTACAGTCCAAAGTAAAAACGAGCACCAAGGAAGTTTCCAAATCTCCACTCGGGAAGCTTCAGAAAGCACGCTCCTCAGTATGATCGATGTCCAGTGATGTCAAAAGAATAATTTTATCACTTCTCTGTGTTTTTGCTCCTGAAGTCAAGTATCTTATACAGTCAATTTAATTAAGAAAAAGCCAAAATGTTTCCTTTTTTTGCTTATGGTTCTACAGAGACTTGTTTCTGAACCACCAGGAAGGTATAAATGTTGTCTTGACTCAGGTCTAGAAAAAAAGAAGAGTAAAAGAAAACAAGTTACTTATCCTTAGAAGCTTTTATTTCTTAAACCTATGATAAAATTAAGAATGAATTTTCCCAAAAATTAAACATTGGAAAAAATTGAGATTTTTAATAAACTGATTCAAGAATTTTTTTCAAGCCTTTTTTGAGTACCAGGTGTTAGGGATACAGCAGTGAAAAAGACAGAAATCTTTGCCTTCAAAGAGCATTTGTTTTATGACAACAAAGGTATAAATTATTGTAATATTTTTAAATCACCAATTCAAACACCATGATTATCAAATAGTCTCTGATTCCAAAAAGAAATACTGATCATTTTCATATAGGTTTCGTCAATCGAGTCCTTTGTTCTCAAAGACAGCCCAGACAGTAAATGGCAGAGCGATCACCTCTTTTTAGATATTTGCAGTTATAAGCTATATTCATCAATAATTATAAACCTAATTATCCTCTTTCCACTGAAATTAGAATCGTACATGAAAGATGCACGGTGGTTAGATAAGCCTTCATTTTGGATCCAAATGCTAGGTCCCCCCCCCCGACCAGAATGAGTGTCAGTCAGAACGCTTTACCCCCCAAGGTGGCTAGCCACACTGCGTCAGCCAGAATCCAGGCCAGGTCTATAGCCATACCACCCTGAACGCACCCGATCTCATCATAATCCATGCCAGGCAATCTTTATTTCGAGTAAGAGAGCAAATCTACCTTTTCTTCTTCACTGACAAGCTGTAGACTTGAAGGTGACCTTAGCCAACCATGTTCCAAACTGTATGCAGAAGATGGTGCTGAGATTACAATGCTGACAAGCAGCAGTGAGAGAGGATGTTCACCTCCAGCCATCCCTAAAACCAGTTGGACCTGTACACCTGAGGTTTGGTTTCGTGAAGTGACAGCTCTCCCTCTTAGCCTGAAGCAGGTTTTCATCACCTGCAGGCTACAACCATCATGTGAAGATGTCCAGAACACAGGTGGATATACGGCTCGGAAGCCAAGGAATCTTGGAATCATCAGCAGATTATAACTGAAGCAATGAATGCCAAATTCTAGGTAGAGCAGTGTCATGAGAAGCAGGGGCTCTAAGGAATAGCAGCATGTAAAAGAGGGGAGAGAAAGAGAAGTCTACAATAGAGGATGGGGTGCTATCAGAAAGAAGAGGGGGAGAGCCAGCTAATGTAGAGTCACTGCAGCCTCTTGAAGAAGGAAGTGGGTAACCTTTTAACTGCCTTGAGACAGCGAAGACTGAGCACCATACCCTGGAGTGTGCGGCAGACTCTCGGTGGCCTGGCTGCCGCAGTTTCAGTGAAGTAGTGCGAGCAGAAATCGGATGAGTGGGTTGAGAAGTGAGTGGAGAGAGAGAAGCAGAGTTCCACACAGGTAGAAAATGTAAGAATACTGGATGTTATGTTTTCAGAAAAGGTAGTAGGTAGAGGAAGGAAAAAAAGCCATTCTTGAAAAGATCAAAGACCAAAGATGTATTAGTTTGATCATTCAAAGTTAACATTTTTTGCCCCAAATGGTAAAATATAAATCACATATTTATAAATTTTTGAAAGAGCTGTCATTTATTTATAAGCTATGTCTTCTATAAATCGATAACAGATACAGGGTCATATAACCCTGAGCATTAAGTGAAATAAAATGATCCCCAAAGTCGTGGCTGAACTTGGTAGGATAGAAATGACAGCTTGTGCAGGTGAAGATCTTTAGTCAAGGTAGATGCATGCATGCTCAAAATGTCACAAATGTGGGAGTAATAACGCAGGAACCTGGGTCCCTGATTCTATAAAGTCCACAGAACAAGTCTTCTAACTACACAAAAATGGCACGTTAAATTGTAAGTATATGTTTAAGGAGGAAAATCAGAAGGAATAAAATTCATATTCTTGACCTAGTTAAAATGCAGGCCCTGGGATACCTATTTTTAAGCAGGGATGAACATTCCTCATCTCACCCAAACTCCAAAACAAGGAAGTTGCAGTCTTGAAACTGGCTTTATCCACTGAACTGGGTAAATACTGTGGAAGTTTGTAAGAAAAGAACAGAATGTTTCACGTATGTCCTTCCTAGAAAGAATATAAGAGCGAAGGTCTAAATTCTCAAGGCCATGAACATCATTTCAGTGTTGCTACTTAACAAGTATAATTTCACCCTGAATCAAAGACCTTGACCAGTAAGAATTCATTGTGAAATGAAATCTCCTTTAACCAATTCTGTTTGAGAACAAATATGCCTTTGTTTGAAACTGAAAATTCTTTACTCATCATTGCTGTTGTAGCACATTCAGACAAGGAACTAATTTTCAAATCAACTATACTTAAAATCGGGTGGTATTGTCTGATTTGTTCCATCATATTTTCTCATCTATACATAAAATTAGCTCCACCTTCAAATACTAATTTTATGTTGGGGGTGCATTTTCTTTTTTTAAATATATATTCCATCTGTTTAGTACTTATAATTAGTAAATGGCTTCCTAATTTATAATCCATTATACTTTATCACCCCACATTTTCCTAAATTCAAATTTCCTTCCTAATTAAAGTAAAACTACTCTTTATTTTGAGAATTTTAAAACATGTATTTTCCTACCCCCATATACTGTGAAAATGAAATTCACAATATTTCCTCTTTTTTAAGTTTAGTGTAAGAATGACTGCTTACAACACAATAATTTGTGCTTCTATTTTCATAGATGAGACTACAGAAAGAATATACAGCTTTACTTAAATATTTCCACCTAGAGATCAGATCTGCTGAAATGTATATTCAAACCAAGGGGATGTTTGCAACTCCACAGGTTTCTATTAAATAAATATACAAATCTTAAAATGTTTCAGACATGCCTTAGAATGTCATACCAATACATTTTCCATCTTCTTGCTTTTCTAAACAAACTTCCTTTATAGAATTTTTTCAAAAGTGTATATACTTAAAACATTTATATATAAACACCTTAGAGTATTGAATTAATCACAAAAATTTCAACACTGCCACTAATAATATACTAATAGTTACTTTCACTTCTTCAGATGAAAGTTGCTTAAAACATGTCATTTTGAAAACTTTATACTTTTTTAAATCTTAAGATAACAAAAGGCGTGTTACTTTGCAACATCTGAACTTGGCTTTAAACACAGCTCAGCATATTCCGCACATAAATAAGGGCTCAGACTGGTCTTCTGCACCAGAGAATACTTTTTATTTATAAAAAAAACTGTGTATTTATTCTTACATGTTTAAACTTCAGTCACCTTCAAAGTACTCCCCATTTGATGCAGTACACCTATCAAGACGTTTTTTCCACTGCTAAACACTGTTTTTGAACTTGTTGATTTAGATGCCTTTTAGTACTTCTGCCATTTTTTGTTTCACCTCTTCCACATTGGCAAAACATTTCCCTTTGAGGACTTCCTTTTGTCATCCAGGTTAACAAAAAAAATGTCACCAGGGGTGAGATTGGGTTGATAGAAAGAGTGGAACATGAGGGTCATGCAGTGTTTGGTCAAATACTGCAAAACTCTCAGTGTGGTATGGGCAGGTGCGCTCATAAATTACCCATCACAAAGTAGGCAAACGTGTTGAGTCTTCCCAAAAAAACTCATGAAGCCAGATGCAGCCTCTCACAATAACACCAGCTGGTACACAAATACAGATGAGTTCCTAGAACACTCACCTAGTGGGGGAATCCTGTACTACAAGGAGCCCACCTTCCAGAAGAGAATTCCAGTTTTGGGGGGGTTCCCCCCTTCATAAAGGTCAAAGATTACTTTAATGGCATGAATATCCACCAGTCCCAGTTACTGTGCTGAAAGATATCCTTTGCCTATCGGGTTGATTTGGCCCTTTCATTAAAAAACAAATGACTGCACATTTTGGGTCCATTTCTGCGCTGTCAGATTATATCAGTCCATTTGTTGACTCTGTGTCTGTGCCAGCACCACCCTGTCCGCACTGTGGTGCCACGACTTGAAGTCCTGTAGTGGTAAGTCTTCCAAATTTCTCAAGATTGTTTGGATTGTTTGGGTCCTTCCTATCTCCATATACATTTTAGAATCAATCTGCCAATTTCTACCAAAACTTCTGTGATTCTAACTGGGATTGCATTTATTGTAACGATTATTGGAGGAAAATTACACTTTATCAATACTGAGTGTTGCAATCCATTAATATGGCATATCCAGAGTTTAGTGGTTTTCAGTGTATAGGTTTCTCACGCATTTTGCTGCATCACTTTTTAACTTTGTCCATAGCTTTCATGTGAAAGCTTTAAAGTTGTATGTAGTCAAATGTTATCACAGCAGAGGGGTTTACCGTACTTACGGCTTCCCCTATCCCAGGACTATAACCCCGTCACCCCAGTTTCCTCCAGGTTTACTTTCATAAACTGATTTGCTGTTAATAGTTTGTTTATAGGAGTGCTCAGGAAACATTTTCACAGTCCACTCACGCTTTTTCTTTCTGACATTTTCCCTCTTTATTAAAACTCGAGTGTTTTAAAACAAAACATATCATTATGATGCAGATATTAGAGAGAATATTTTATTTACTCAAGCCTGAGTTTGTAACACAAGTGCACAGAAGAAGAGTAATTACATGAAAACTACTCCCCCATTCTGATACCCACTCTCTTTTCCCCCTTGTATGAGACGATCATGTTTATCTTCCCCTTTCTCTAACCATCTGCCTCCTTTTCTTTTCCTGCTACTTTTCTTCTTTCAGTGTCTCTCTCCCTTTATCTCCCCCCTTTCCATCTCTTTATCCACCCTCCTTAAATCCTTCTTTATCTGTCTAGAGTTAGGAATAACAATGATGCGACACACAGTAGGTTCTCAATGTTAAGTTGATGGACTGAAATCTACATTACACTCTAAACTTTTCTCCTGAGTCTAACCACCTGCTGATGAACATCTCATATGGTCTCCCAGGTGCCTTAAACACAGCATTTGTAGAATTGAATTCACTGTCTTTTCCCCACATGATTCTA